AAATATATGTTTATTAAATAAAGTCTAATGTTACAACTAATCATGGATCCCTTTAATTAAAAACAGGTGAATTAAATTGTGTTTCTGAAATTAAACAAAAAACAAAAGTTGTAACTCTGCTTCAACTCGTCTCTTTTTGATAGTTTCATTAAAATAATTAAAACTGAACTTTGCTGTGTTCTTACAGTATTTTTTCTGCCTGCATTTGTTTTTCAGAATATTCTCGTGGGCACGTCAATATTCATGGTGAACGCCACAGATCCAGACCAGGGCACCGGCGGCAGCGTCCTCTTCTCCTTCCAGCCTCCTTCACCCTTCTTCGCCATCGACGGAGCCCGAGGCATCGTCACCGTCACCAGAGGTCTGGACTACGAGACCACCACAGCGTACCAGCTGACCGTCAACGCCACGGTGAGCTCACAGGCGGGAGCTGCTGCAGAAACACCGGCCGGGTTGAGGTCCGTGTATCAGCCGTGTTTGTTTCTTCTTCTGCTAGGACCAAGACAAAACCAGGCCTCTGTCCCGACTGGCCAACTTGGCCATCGCCATCACCGACGTCCAGGACATGGACCCTATTTTCACCAATCTGCCGTACAGCACCAACATCCTGGAGAACGTTCCACTGGTCAGTAATGAATTCACTGAGTGGTTCCACAGTTTGGATTGTTCTGATGGTTTATAGTGAAACTGTCTATTGTTTACATTTAACGTGCCATAAAGTCTTCCTTTTTCTTTCCATTGCTGCTCGTCTCCAGCTCCACCTGTCCTCTGTTCATAAAACTTTTTTGAAGCTTTCAAACCACAAACTACCAATTTAGTTCTTATTGTTTATAAGAACTAAAGTGGTTGTTGTTGGTCTTATTTTTCCCTTGTTAGTTCTGTGGCCATTTATAGCCCCTAGAACGTTCTTTGTGTCTTTTTTTAGTTCCTTCTTCAGAGTAAGGGCTTAAAAGTACCTGTAACACACACACATATATAAAATACACACACACACACACATACACATTAATGTACATATATATATACGTATGTATATATAGATATTTAGAATTATCTCCTGAGCTAGTACACATATATGGCTCTATAGCGTTAGCTCCTGAGCTATTGCCATATATATGTGTATATATATATATATATATACGTATGTATATGTGGCAATTTAGAATTATCTCCTGAGCTAGTACACATATATGGCTCTATAGCGTTAGCTCCTGAGCTATTGCCATATAAAGCTAGTTCTCGAGCTAATAATATTAGCCCAGCAACTAATACCACATATTTATTAGTAACATAGCTATATATAACGTAACTAATGACTAAAAAATCTTTAACTTAGAGTTTCCTCACAGTTTTGCACCGGAACACCTAGTGTCATAATTTACCCATATGCTTTGCGGTGTAAATATACATATAAATATACATAAAGAAGCAGGTACAGATAATGTATGGATATAAATGTATGTGTGACAATATGTTTTTTAAAATTTATAAAAACCAAACAAGCTTTTACAGTCCTATTTTTATAGTTGTAATAAACGTTTATCAAATGTTGATTAACTAGTCGAGGTTCTCTTTAACCTGAATGAAGAACCAACACTTTAAATTGACCTCATCCTGGATTACGTGGGCTTCTCTGCTTCCTCCTGCCCTTTTTTGGTTGTTTGTTTATACTTTCAGTAATGAGAGCAGTTATTTGCAGGGTGTGTCTTGCATTCAACACACGTACACCTTTTATGAAAGTGGATTGTTCTGTTCTGTCAGTTCTGACATGGAGCCAAAAAAGGGATAATTAAAAAAAAGGAAAGAGGAAAAAAAAGGCGAGGTAAATCATTCGTGAGAAAGACTTTTTACAAGTGGAGTAGCTACAACTTGCATTTGACATACTGCACGTATTTCAAAATCTATCCTGTGTGGTCATGATGTGTTTTGCTAACAGATAAAATCCTCTCTTTGTCTTTTAGTGGTGGGCAGTAATTGGGAAAAAAATCTTCAAAGCAAAACTGCCACATGTGATATTCTCAGTTGGGTTGAGGTCTGGGTTTTGATCAGACCAAAAGACCGTGACCCTGACATGACCTCTTGACCACCACAGGTCATGTCTCCTAAATTTCACCAAAAAGTTCCTCCAAACCAAACAGTTTTACTGACTTTACTTAGGAGACCTGTTCTGATCTCAATTATTCAAGTCTATAAATATAAATTCTATCCTTTTTCTTTCCAGCGCACTTTTTTTCTGCAGCACAGAGGAGAGCGTAATATGCTATTCTTGGAGGTCTGTTTTGACGCACTAAGCTACAATACTGGAGGGATTTCTCTATCCAATAATTACTGTTCACCTACTGCCAGACTCCCCTCTCTGCAGTGTGTCCTCGTCACGTCTCGTGGGATCAGCAACGAGGATGTTTCCCTGGAAACTGGACAGCTATATTGTTCATTACTGTGCTATCCCTGAGCTGCTGCCAAAAAAAAAAAATGGTTTTAGGATTTTTACGTTTTAAAGTACGTTGTGCACACGTTGTTAAAGATATCTGATTATGCATTTTGAGTTGTACATGATATAATTGTGAGTTTATTTTTGAAAAAATACCATCTCAGATTGGGATTTATTCAGCCGGAGAAATCAAAGCTCTTCGATCGATCGCCTGCGGTTCTCCCCACCTTGAAATGATGTGTTTGCACAAGCCTTCCCACACACTGCCACTCAATATCAGGCTCAGTAAATGGCCACTCAGACCCACTAGGAAACCCACACTGACGATAGTCTGCGGTTTATATAAGACTCCCACTACAATATTGTTGAAAAAGATTGCCTCGAATGAATCAGTCTCACAGAAGCACCTGAAAGTGTGCTCCTCCTGCTTGCTATAAGGATTTCTTGCAAAAAAAAATTGAAAATAAACTTCTCGATCGGAGAGCATGTGAGGGCAGATCTTTCAGGATCTTTCAGGTCAGGGTTATTATCTCTCCCACACCCTGCTTGAACATGATGTTCCTTTATAACGTCTGAGTGTCCTCAGGCGCGCACGGCTCATGTCACGCTGCCGCACAACAGCCAGCGATGAGCTACGATACACACATTAAATCATATGTGACTTGGAGTTACATGGGCAAACCTTCCCACATTTCCACATTGTAAAACCTGACCATTGTGCTGGATGATTAACTACGTGCATTTGCCCTGTTTTCAGTTCCGGTTTAAGCGAAGGAATGCAGTTTATTGTGTTTCATACCTCAAACAACACGTAATAAAAGCGTACACTGAATATATTTATTGCTTTCCAGATAATAAAATAATCTAACCTTAAATGCTCCCTCTCTAGTTTTCTTATCACAGCTGAGAGCTGTTCACATTTGTGGCTGCTTTGTTGAGGCAGATCGCTGCAACACTACGGGGAGTGGAAGTGTACAGCTGAAAATGATCAAAACAGTTTCTACATTTTTATTTCTAACTTATCCTCAAAAGCTAAGTGATAAAGTGTTGCTTTTAATGTGATCTTTGCTTGTGTTTGTAACGATTTTTTACATTGCATATGTGAAAACCTTCCTTGTGACAAACCCACTGGTAAAAAAGAACAATCATAAACCCCATCAAGGAAGGATCTGGGATCTCTTTCTTTTGGTTATGCTCCATAGCTCATGACCACCGGTGAGGGTTGGAATGTAGATGGACTGGTAAATTGAGAACTTTGCCTTTCGACTCAGCTCTTTTTGCAACATTTCAAATTCAGTTATGAGTCCAAAAATAAGGAGGACAAGCCTTGTTGCATTGTTGTATTCTTTGATAATAAAAAAGCAAGAGCTTTTCTGGTCTACACCAGAAAGTGATTCCCAAGGATTGTTTATGTGCAGGAATTATTTTAATGCAAATACTGAACATAATGTGCTCCCGTTGACAAAAAAAAAAAAAAAAAAAAAAAAAAACTCTGAAACTTTATTATAACAAGAAGATGATTGCATGAATGTTTTTCACTTTGTCAATGCTTTGGATGTTTCCCTCCTTGTGTTTCTTAAGTTACACTTTCAAATTTTTTTTTTTTTGTCTGTGAAAGAAACAGCTCCCTGCACCTGTTGCTTCTGGGCCAGGAAGTTGTTGCTTAAAACTAAAGAAGAAAACCATTTTCATACTAACGCTCACGTTTAGTTCAACCAAATGGGTTTCGTGCTTCAGTCTCATCCCTATATAACGGATCTGTATTTTTCAAAGGTTGCAGAAATAATCAATACTCAGTGTAGGTGGAACATCAGAAGTGGGCGATTGCATTCAGGGGGGCTGAACAGGTTTGTTTAAACAAGTTTTGCAATAGGGTTGGGAATTTCTGGAAACTGAAATCTTAAAAGCACATATTTCTTTGCTGTGCGATTGGCCTACCTTATCTGTAAGGATACTAGGAGTTTAACCATTGAGCAGAAAAGGATATAAGTATGAATATTTCAACAAAAAAATCCATTAGTTTAGTTTGCTTTCATTTTTGAACAATATTTGTGAGCAGGATTCCAATTAAATTAGTATTTTGTTTATGCAAAACAATTTTCATGTAAAATTTTCCCTAAACTTGTTATAAAAACAGAGCAGCGTCAAAGTTTAAAATATACTTAACTGCACAACTTTTGCAGCTGTACTCCTAAGATGCTTTGTAAAGTAAAATAATTCATTTGAGTGGAAAAATCTTTCCACCTTCAGACATTAAAGTGAATTGTTGCTCAAAGCAAAACATATTAAAAATGTGATCTAAACACATGCATCAACTGATGATTGGTGATCAAAAGGTAAAAGTAGTAAGCAAACGCTCACCTGTAAATATGTAGGTAAATGATGGCTATGATGTATTTATCATCTTCTTTCTTTGAAAAACAGGTTGAATTTTTTGGAGCTTTTTATATTTCTAAAAATAAAAAAAATGTTAGTGTTATATCATATAAGAATAGAGTTGCTCTGAATAAAAAGTCTACTTATCCACGACCTTAGGAACATAATTAGAATGCAGTTCCGCCTCCGGACCAGCGGCGGCGCTGTAGCGCTCATTCAGACCGGTTGTGTGAGTTGGAGCTCGGCGTTAAGCTGGCTAGCTGGCACGGGCTGGTTGGTCCTTCGGTTGATGGTAGCCATGGCTCGAGTTGCTGCGCTGTTGCTTTTGCCGGTTCTCATTGAATCGGTCTTTTCAATCTCATTCTTTTTGCCGGTGAACACCAGAAAGTGTTTACGAGAGGAGATCCACAAAGACGTCCTGGTGACGGGAGAGTATGAAATCAGCGAGCAGGCGAACACCAAAACTAACCTGAAGGTGAGCACAGACTGGCAGTAATTTTACGCTCAGCTTAAGCTTCTTGCCTCAATAAAAGGTTAATTTGTACGGAATCAACAATGCAGTTATATAAAAAAACTTTTCTGGTCATTACATGTTCTACTGTTGATGGAAAGCGCCTCCAAATGAATAGCAGCTGTGTTAGCATGTGGCTACACCAGGCCCCAAAACTCGTCTTCCTGGTTTTACTTGCTAATTAGCCAGCTAGCAAGTTAGCTGTCACCAACGCTTATAGAAGATTTCTTTCGGATTAATTTTATTTTTCTTTTATGTATGAACTCAAATTACGCTAGCAGTAAAGAGCGCCTAGTGTATAACCCTTTTATTGTCTTTGACGTTTCTTTATTGTGTTGCGTTCAATGTCCTCGCAGCTCTGTCGCTGTTACACGTCAGTCTTACTCATACTGCAGCATAAATCATTTACACGTCAACATTTGCATCAGTGAATACTATAAAATATAAATCTATTCATTTCTGCTAACAGCTATCAATGGGGCGACCGTTTTTACATTGTTGATTAATTTATAAAGGTTTTATTATAAACAGGAAGTTTTATTTTTCCTAACAGCTGCCAATGATTGATTTGTATGCAGTCGCTGCAAAGAACACAAACATGCTTAAAAACAGTCTTTGTAATATTTGTATTTTTAAAAGCTAGTTCCATAAAAAAATCTGCGAAGAAACAATGAGTTGCAAACACTTAGATTAACTTAAAAAAATGCACATCAGACTTTTTAACTAGAAAATACATTTTGAAATGATTTAAAGACTGGTTTTATGCCACTTCATTCAAATCTTGTTTTTTGCAGATCACAGACTCTTCCAGCCACACTCTGTACTCCAAGGAAGATGCAACAAAGGGAAAGTTTGCGTTCACCACGGAGGACTACGACATGTTTGAAGTTTGCTTTGAAAGTAAATCGCCCATGGGTAAGTGTGTCAACACAAAATTCAGCCTGGATCTGAACTGGAACCCAGTCCCAAGGGATTTCAAAATACAATATTACATGCATTCATTTTATTAGACTCGTATGATTGATATAATCACATTATTTCAACATTTTCCAGGATCAAGGATTCAGAGAGATTTTTAAACTGATTTAAGTGGTTTAGAAGAATATCCAAAACTTGTCATGCATATAATAAAATTAAATGCAATGACAGTTTGAATTTCTTTATCTTTGTGGAATTGTGCAAGCTTTTGAATCGTAAATGTCATAATCAGAATCAGTTTTATTGCCATTGTCGATGAACAGGATTCACAGACTAGGAATTTGCTTCAGTGTAAAGGTTTTAATAGGTAACAAATATAACAAAAGAAGAAAATACAAAGGATAAAGGAAAAATATAATAAAATATATAAAACATATGTACTGTATAATTTACAGGAACTGGAAGAGTGCCGGACCAGCTGGTCAATCTGGACATGAAACATGGTGTGGAGGCCAAAAACTATGAAGAGGTAAGTTTCCGGAGGCTGAAATCTATTTTACATGTTGTAGGAAATTAATACGCTCAATTTAATGGGTTACTTTAACATAAAATAGAGCATATGAATAAAAATTATATACATTCATGTTAGGCTGCCTTCAGGACCAGGCCTCTGTTGCAAAAGATTTGCCTGGTTTAAGGTTTGGAAAAATCGTCACGCGATGACATTTTCATGTGATACTATCAAGCGCACCTGTGAGCTTGTGTTACTAAAGATATGCTGCCATTCCATGTTGGGGAAAAGGTGGGTTTCAATTTTATTTACTGTTTTGACTTGTTAAAATTAAGAAGTTAGTTTGACTGATTTAGAGTCCAAAACATGCAAGTGTAATTGTGATCTACTAGCCTGGCCCTTGCCTTCCTACTCAGTTCTGCTCAGTTCTAGTTTCCCTTCACTGCTCCGTCTGGGATTTCTCCCATAGAAGAGGATTTCTTCAGGAGAATTTTGTTTGGGCCAATCAGAGAACAGAAGGCGGAGTTTTGAATGACGTCGATTTTTTGTGCAGTGTCTGCTTGTAGTTTAGCAATGGCAGCAGAGGAAGTGAATGAAGCCAGTCTGTGTTGATAAGGCTTCCAAATTAAATTAAATGAAATTTGTCTGACAAAGCAGCAGCAGCTCTCATTTACAGTCGTCTCGTTCGGCTCAGTACTTCTCTCCTCTCAGTAGGGTTATTTACTGCGCACGCAATTTCCGGTTAGCTTCTTAGCTTAGCCTCCTTCACATGACCAACAGATCCAATCAGTTTAAACTCTAACAGAGGCCACGCCTCTAGCAAGAATCGCTTCTCTATAGCCGAGAGTCCAGACCCTCGTATGAAGCAAAACGAAGGACAAGGGTCTGGTTTTTACCAGGCTAGTGGTCTATTAATTGTCATTTTATTAATTGTTATCGGCTAAATGCTACAATTAATCATTATTAGCCTGATTAAATAAAGGTAAATAAGTTAATATGAACTCTTGATGTTCCTAATACAGTTTGTCAAAAGTGAAATCAATGAAACAAACAAATACATATATTTTTTCTTCCCATCATTAATTTGCAAGGGGAAAAAAGTTAACAAAAATTTGCAAATCATTCCTGTAGCTGTTGCTCAACATTAAAGCAAATCATGACCTAATCAGGTAAAACACATTATTGCATTTATAAATCAGGTCCAGTCACTTTGTGGGTGTCTCTTCTCGCTAATATGAAGCCTTAAAAAATGTCAGTTTATCGTGGCAGAGATAAAAAGATGAATCCATTCTGTGTGTTTCCAGCCCTATATGACACTGCATTACCACGCCAGTTTGTAATCTCTCTGAGGGTCCGGCCCCCTTTGGTGAATCTTGAGAAATAAAGAAGGGGGAACTCATTTGACCTGAGTGTTACCTTCCCCTCCCACACATGTAAACATTCCAATAATGAGTGCGTCGGTGGATATTCAGAGGGCATTCCTGTCTGCGCACAGGAGGGTGGAGCTCCAGCTGCGCACGTATTTACTTGCATCACACGTGAAGAAATGTGCAAGCTGCAGCAAAGAGGATGTTCTTGAAAAGTTTCACAACGCTTGGGGCTGTTTATTTGGCAGATACAAGTTGTGTGTTTGTTTTCGTTCCAGTCGTTAAGATCTTCAGATTTCGACTAAATAGAAATGTGTGCCACATGTGAGAGATTTTAGCTTCACAGTTGAAGTACTTAACTAAAAATTACCACATTATGAAAAGCAAATACCATTATGCAGTTAGACTCAAAAAGGAGAGAACAAGTACTTTCTTAGGTTTTAATATATGTGTGTGTGTGTGTGTGTGTGTGTGTGTGTGTGTGTGTGTGTGTGTG